CACGGGACCAATTCCAGATCTCTACATTTTAATTCATGGATGTTCTTACAGTAGCTTTACAAAAGTCTTGAGCCACTCCTCATTTCTTCATATTTTGTTTCCACTTTTTTAAGTGTTTTTGAGCAACCGGGTTTCAAAATGTATTTCTAATTTTTTTCTGGACATTGGCTGCTTGTTCACTCATTTTCAGTCCCATCCTTGTAATTGGCAATTTTTCTGACAAATACTGTTTTTTGGTTTGTTAAGCCACCCAACACTGACCTATGAATCAGAGATAAAAACAAAAACAAAAAGGCACCAAAACTCAAGGGATCAATTAGTGTTTTGTCTACACATAACAGACATCACTCAGCAAATAACTTATTTTAAATTGCATCTTCAGGCACTTACTTACACTCACTAGTAGAAACAGGGTGGCTGTAAAGAAGTCGATTTAAAGGACTGGCAATGGGTTTTAAGGAGACATAATCCAAAATTGAAACTTCATTATCAATACTTATGGAGAAGGTCAGGATAGAGGTACAATTGCATTGCTTGATGCTGTCCTTGTTAAAACTGGTGGAATTATGAGTTAAGAATAAAGAAAAGTACCACAATCATGTGCTACTTCATCTGGAAAGTGTCTGATTGGCAACAGCTTAGTTTTTGAGCATGCCAATGATCCCAAACACACTGCCCGTGCAGTAAAGGCATACTGGGACAGAACAACAACAGTAGAATGCTATCAGTCATGGACAGGCCTCAACATCACTGAAGCAATGTGGGATCATCAACGTGGGAACAAAAGGCAGCCAACATTTGTCCTTCAAAAAAACCTGAAGAACTATCAGAGAAGATTATTTAAAGAAATTACAAGAAAGAGTCATATCAAATATGCTGCTGGGAATTTCACAAACTCTGTTTTTGCCTTATGTGTTGATATATTTCCATGCATCTTTGCACACATTTCAATAAATCATTGCAGCTGTTTCACATTTTCCTAACAAAATGTAAAGAATTGAGTGGTGCATCAAGGCTTTTGCACAAAACTATATGTGTAAGGTCCCGTTCAAGGTTCGGGGAAGAAATATGCGATGGCAAATACGCTTTTCACACACAATATTCA